TGAAACACTGTTGCTTAATTATGTTCCTATCATTCCTGGGGGACATCAAATGGTGGTTCTAAATCTAATAACAACAGCCAGAATTATCTTTGCCAGGACTAATCCCCCAACATACAGGAATAGTACTATGAAATTAAATAATTATTTTTAATATTAAAATATGCCCTTTCAGGATTATACAAAAAGAAGTCTGTTTCAGAAAAAGGGATAAGAGAATATCTAAAAGACATCCCGACTACAAAGTTTGCACCAGAACACAGATTTTTAAACCAAATAATAACAGTTCAAGAAATCTCGCAGGCAATAAAAAATGAGGATTAATGAGGGTATAAATGAAGAAAATATTATATTATATTAATTATATTATATTATATATTATTAAAGTGCTATTTTATTCCATGATAGTTTGTAAATAGTTTAAAACCGATTAATCATTTTGTTTATTGATTGGCTGCGGTACAGTTCTTTATACAACTGGGTTATTCTGTCTGTCTGTCCGTCCATCCATCTATCCATATATAGCAATAGCCTTGAGCAGAAAATTGGGTTTTATGTTTGCAACTATTGTTACAGAACCTGATCCCCTTTAAATTTATTGCCAGTCAGCTGTCTTCAGCTGATGGGTAAGTGCTGCATGTCAGTGCAAACGAAAGCTGATATCTGGTCCCCCCCTACCTGTAACACCTGGAGCTGGGGTAGAAAATGTGTGTTTTAGTGACGTAACTGTATGGCTTAAGCTAGACTAGATGTTATGGCTTGGGAGGAGGAATTTGAGAGGACTCTACCATTTTGGTATCATGTTCTTTGTTCCTCAGCCAACGTGTATAGCAGATAGTCAAGGGAGACCCCAGGTATGAACCCATACTCGGTTGTGACATCCAGTGGGCGATTGCAAAGTTGTTATGAAGGCAAAATTGGGGATGGGGGATGCTATTATGCTGCCCTGGGATTCTTCAAGAAGAGATGGACTAAAAAGCTAATAAATACATATGAATTACCGTATGTTTGTGGAAACTGCTTGTTGGCCATCTAGTCCAACCCCTTGTTTGATGCAGGAAACTCAAAGATTGAGCACCCTTGACAGATAATTTTCCAGCTTCTTCTTGAGGTTTCCGGCAAGAGGGGATCCCACCTACCTTCTAGGTTCCTTTAGTATTTAACTGTAATCTACTCTTCTGTAACTTAAACCCTTAATCATGCCCCCTGGAGCATCAGAGAGCAAGTCTTTGTTCTCTTCTATGAGACAGCCCTTCCAGAATACAGATACACAGAACTGGTCATCTACATTTACAGGTCATCTAGTACAATCCCCTGAACAAAATAAATCTCTTATTCTAGAGGTGAGAGTGTGGCTCAAGGAAGGGGTATGTGTTTGCATGCAGAAGGTTCAGGTTCAGTACCTGCCACCTTCAGTTAAAGACTTATAGATAGCAGACTCTTAGAGTGGGGGGTGGAGGACTTTCTCAGCCTGGAATATTGGAGAGCTTCTGCTAGTCAATGGAGACAGTACTGTCCTAAATCTATAGTCTGACTCAGACTAATGTGGACAATCATGACCTGATCAGAGAACAAATGTAAAGAAAACAGTCATGAGGGTCTGACCAACAAATCAAGTAGTCAACAAGACTTGCAAAGAAAATGCTTTTTGTATATTATGGTCAACAAGCACTACAACACAATAAACAAATTCTTTCAAATCATAAGAAAATCCTAGTGTAAAAATACAACATTATACAACAACGTTTCAGAATTCGATCTTCCTTAGGAAATATTAGAGTAGTACAAAAGCTCTCTTGCTCATAAAGTGCTTTACAAAAAATCAGGAAAGATAATATATTTAGCTAGGACGCTGATCTCAGTAAGTATCCAGGCTCAAATATGCTGCTAAGCTTCTGATGGATCCCACGACTGTTTTCTTTACATTTGTTCTCTGACTCAGCTTCCTATGTCCATAATCTTCCATATCCTACAACCTTTTGTGTAGTGTGTATTTCCACCAGTGCTCCCTCTAAGCTGAGTTACTATGAGCTAGCTCACAGCTTTTTAGCCTCCAGCTCACACATTTTTATATTAGTTCAGGAAGGATGGCTCCAGAGCAAACTAATTTATGCAGTAGTCAAATCGCTTGCTCGCAACTTTAATGCCAGTAGCTCACAAAGTAGAATTTTTGCTCACAAGACTCCACAGCTTATAGGGAGCATTGATTTCCACCCTTATTCTCGGGATAAAAATCCTACTGCTGCTTAACATTTATATAGCATTAACAGTCTGCAATGGACTGATCAGAAACTGAGGCTCACAGAACAATGTATTACTTCAGAAATGGAAAGAAGACCAATGCCCCTCTACCAGTGGACCACTGGCCAGTTTCTACTGAAGCTTCTTAATGTTGGATTAGGCAGACTTTTGTCTGATCCAGAAACCTACTTATGTTCTCAAGCAAGACTTCAGGATCACTCAACACAGATTAGTTATACCTCAATCTGTAATGGATTGGAAATCGCTTACATGAATCACCTCATTCACTCCCCATGTAAAGCTTGAGCCGGATGAAGGCTCCTCTGAACTGCATTGTCATTGGTTGCCCTCTAACAGCGACCAATCAGGAACTGTACAGGCTCCAGAGAGGGAAAGACTCTCATTGGTCTTTAACTACACAATCTTATTGGTTGTTATATGTAAATAGGCGTGGCTATGTTAGCCTGGGAATGTTTAAAAGGAGCCTAGCTCCCTATGTTAAACTGTTCTGGTTATGAATGCGTTTGAGTGCTTGTTCGTTACTTCAATAAAGCTGAATCACTTTGCTGAAATCACTCTCCTGAGCTTTGTTAGTACGATCTAACACAATCACTCTTGCTTTGCCCACTTAGCACACAAAGGTGGACTAGAGATGCCAATAAAAATAACTTCACGTGGGATAGCCATGTTAGTCTGTAGTAGCAGAACAAAATTCAAGTTCAGTAGGACCTTGAAGACTACTAAAAAATTTCCAGGGTATAAGCTTTTGTGATTCAATGCTTACTTCATTATATACTTTGTCAGAAAAATTTCAATAAATTGCTTGTTTCAATCTGAGCTTTATGAAACTTCTCAATACAGGAACCAAAATCTGAATGATCTTTGAACAAATAAATTACAGGGAGCTCCCAGCAACTCTCAAATTGTGTTTCAAGACCTATTTCCAGGAATTTGAAAGTAATTTTGCTTCCCACACCTCTGAGGTCAGTTTAAAACTTGATTGGGTGACAAATCCATTTAAAGCTAAATATTCTATTATCGTTTCTGCCATGTGAATACCTGGCCAGCTGGTATGAGTGAAAATAATAATTTTGCTTCCACAAGGACCTTCAAGTACTTATTACTGAAATAACCTGAGTATCTACAGATTGTTTCTACAATGCCATGAGTACCGTTGACCCAGCATACCACTTGTTCTCAGACTTTAATTTCTGTCATCATGTCTCCATTTCAGGCAGGTCTTACATTTAATGGTATTGCAAATCTCTAAAAAGATTTCTCTGAGATACATGCACACACACACATCTTATGCATAACAGCAGGACTGGTAAATTCTATATTCTTGGGGGCTTCTCTATTCTCCAAACATTACTCCAGGGTTGAGAAATCTATTTTGCTTAATGGTGATCATTTGCTATAATCCATCACCCTGGTCATGGGTGAGCATACCCTATAATACAGTCAGCACAGTCAATCAATACCAGGTTTACATTCCACATTTACGGTATACCTGGACTGAGGCATAGCTGGACCACTACACAAAAACACAAAGAAAACTTGGAAATTGTAATGCAACACTATAAGTGTGTCTTATCGTTTGCGGAGTTTGAAAACTGCTTTTCTTTCAGAGTCAAGCCACGGGCAAGCATCCTACCGCACTTTGATTTAAAAGGATAAGGTGTACAGTAGGCAAAAATAAAAAAGCTTCAAGAGCAGCACAGTGGTTGCCAGTTGGCTATCAGAGGTAGATCAAACCGGCAAGCAGAATCTCTTGAAGCCTACAGTCATCTTCCACTGGCTCTCTCTCACCTGAGATCATTTGAGATACTCTTAATAAAGCAAAACTCTGCCTAAGCAGCCTAAGGACGTAAAGGTTTTCAGCACTGCTCATAGGCAGCCAACCAAGCCTGTGTAGAGTACCCTGAAACCTTAATGGATATTGTTACAAGATTCTACTTGACAGATGATAGTCAAGAGACTGCATCTGTATGCATGACTCATAGGAGGACATGGCTCAAAGGAAGAAAGTTCTGTAGAAACTGATCTCTATTAAACACCTTTTCCCACCCAACACATAAATTTCCTGGAGCTTTGGGCTACATTTTTGAAAAACAGCAACAAAATTGGAAACTTCCCTCCCCCCATTTCTGCAACACAATACAGTTAAATTATATTAATACTACATTTGTGGGCTGGAAAGTATAAATGTGTAATGAACAATGACAACAGAGAAGTGACATGGCCTTTGGACTACAGGGATGAACAAAACTTTTTAAAACAATTTGTTGTGAAAATCTGTATGCCGCCTCTCCAGAATCTATTCAAGACAGCTCATAACTGAAGCAATAAAATGATACCAGCCTGTTAAAAAAAGTTAAGCCAATAAAACATGCCAGGGCATAAAAGCAGCACAAGGAAACTGGAGCAGTCTAAAATAATATTGATAAAAGAGTCCTCAGGCTAGGAGCAAACCCCCAAAACAACTAAAGACGATGGAAGACAGTTAAAAGCCTGGGTAAAGAGCAGCATTTCAACTTGTAATTGGAAAAAAAAAGTAAGACAGGCACCAGGCAAGCCTCAAGGAGGATAGCATTCCCAAAGTGAGGTGCCACCACTGAAAAAGCCCTGTCTCTGGTCACCCCCACCTCACCTCTACAATCAGCAGGGCATGAGAAGAGGATCTCTTAACTGGCTAGACAATATATGAGAGGAGGTGGTCCTATACTATCGATAAAGTGTAGAGTTGGGAGTTTGAGACTTACATCCTTAATTTGTTCTGAAGTGATAGCTTTGTTATGGCAGTCAATGGCACCTTCTGCTACAATTATAATATTCAACCTTTTCTTTCGTGCACGATTCTAGGGAGAAAGAAGCACAAAAATATTACAGAGGAAGTATTACAAACAAAGAGTTGAACATCAAACCCTGACTGTACTTCGAAAGTGTCTTACACTAATTTCAACTACTACCTCTGCTGAAATTGACATATGGACCCTCCCCAACTGGTATTTTGCAGCATGCACAAACTGAACACCAACTATCTGATGCTGGGCCAATATGCGGTCTGGAAGCATAGTTAGATAAAGTAAAACAGTTGTTTTCAAAAGCAGGGTATTAATTCAACATTAACTTGGTGTTAGGTATTGGGACTGAAACATTGCAGGACTGTGCTGCCAGAGACAGGGTGAGCTTGGAGCCGAATAACAATAGACCAATAGGATTCTGGCAGTAACCAATTAAGGTGTAAAGTTCTGTAAATAGCCTATCCTTGGGAGTGGGGTGTGTTGGGGTGTGGCCACTGCATGCAATATAACCAAGCTGAGGCTCTGGTCTACAGTCTTGTTCTTGCTGAAATCACTGAATAAAGTAGAGCTGATCACTAGACTTGGAGTCTGTTCATCCATGGAACCCATTATTTAACACTCATTGTCTTGGGAATCCCTGCATGTTTGCCACAGACCCTAGCATGTTACAGAGGATTCTGGGAGCTACGAAAGCAATAAATTACAGACACAATTTAATAATCAGCAAAATAAAGACAGCAACTAAGATAAAAATGCAGGCAGATCTGCCCAACGAATTTGCCTTTCACCAGATTCCATCTAACACAAGACCATTTTAAACACCTTCCTGAATGCAGAAAGTGAGGACACTCTCTGCCACCCACTCAGTTAAACCTGAGAGAGCTAGAGTGAGCAATATTAAATAAGTTGATGCTTGATAACTGCATCCCCTTGATTGTTTTGGCCATTCCTGATGCCTTTTTTGTAATAAAGTTGTAACCTGGAATACCCACAATACAAAACTATCATGTTGTTTCCCACCACTCTGCTCAGCTAAAAGCAACACCTTCCTCCCAACATCAAAGACTCTCCCATCATAAGAAAAGCCTAAGAAAGGCTGTTTGCTCCAGAGGAAGGTACTACAGTTAACTAAGGATACAACCTGGTAATTTTACCACAACCAGGATCAGCAAATCCAGTCCTTTCTGGAATGCTAGCCCTTCCAACTGCCATCCCCTCTGTTTGGTCTGAAATAAACTACTTGTGAACTCACCCAAATATCTGCTGAACATGAAAACGGCTTCTGATTCTTTTGTTCATGAAATAAAGCCCTGGGTGTCATCAGAACATTAATGACATCTACCCTCAAAGCTCCAGATCATCTCATTCAATGACCTGACATTAGCTCAATTATTGTAATCCCTACCCAAATCCTTGGTTTGGCACCAGCTGTCTTTCCTCTCAAAAACACTGATGTTATAAAGCCAAACGGATATGACTATGTAACAATATCACTGAAACAGCATGGCTATTTGGAACAAATATATTAACACCAAAGCTGCAAAAATGGAAGTGCTCCTGCCACCTGAATGTGTATGAATGAAAACAGGCTACCTGGATGCGCATAAGGGAGTGCAACTTGTCTCTTCTGTGTCCCAATTAAAACCACAGCTGGAAAAGCAACCCCAAAAGGTCATCAAAAGAGGGTGCATTTCACAGAGGGATGAAGTGTTCATGGAACAGGCTCCCCATTTTAGCTCAACCCCAAGGATAAGCTGCTTTTCAGGGAAGTTATAACTGATCTGAGAAATGCCTGGCTTCCTCGGAACAGTCCAAATATCATTGTAATAACGGTTTACCTCAGAAAGCTTTGAGCACATCTGATCTTCCCATCCTTGCTCAGGTGGATATTCAGGAATAAAAACCCAATCTGCACCACAGGCTAAGGCACTAACAAGAGCTAGGTACCTGGGAAAGATGTCAGAAAATTCAAGTAAGTTCACAAACTAAATATTGCTGGAACGTTTACTACTGAGGAAAATACATACCCACAGTGTCTTCCCATCACTTCCAGGACAAAGGTCCTCTGATGGCTATAAAACAGACAAGAAAATCAATATTTGTGAGTATTTATTTAAATATTTATATCCCACCTTTCCTCATGGCTAAATGTGAGATATAACAAAAGCACAGAAATTGTAAACATTAACGGACTGCTATCTATCGTCAATTAAGCAGAAAGGAAGGGCCAACATTAACTAGTCTTGAGTAGAAGATAACACTAGAACCAGTAGTGCTATCTCATTCATATATATATATATCACATTGACAGGACATTACTTAAATTAAATGTAAGAGAAAAAACAAAGCATGAAAAAGACAATAAGAGTTAATCATGACAACATAACCTTGTCTATCTTCCTTTTAAGCAGAAGATTTTAAAAAATATGTTCGACACTTGCAGGCCAGGTAAAAACACAAATGTTCTACACTTTTCCTAAGAAACTTCCCCCTTTAAAAATGTCCCCTTGGATTTTTTTTATACTTGTCTCCTAGCATTCCTCCATAAAGTTCAGAACAGGAAAGTAAAACTTTGTAATAATTAGGCCAAAAGACTGTGATTAGCTCAAGGCCATCAAAAAAGCTTCATTCTGAAAATTTCATTTCCCATATCCAAGCTCAGACTTCAGTCACTAAATTACAGCAGAATTTAATAAAGTTGCTGAAAAAAAACTGTGTCTTACTCCTCAGATACAAATTTCTTTCCAGTGATGGGTTATACCTGACAAATTATAAAGCTAGGACCATAAGAAAATCTGGATTTTTCCTGTTTGCTTATAGAACAAAGGCTGAATCCTATGCACACTTACCAGAGAGTAAGCCACACTTCTGAATAAATAACTGTAGGATCATACTAAAAATATCAGACTACAGAAACAGGAATACTAAAAAAGAACCTGACTTAAGAGCACCTGATTCATGGAAAACAGAAGCTCTCCCCTCTTTCTGATATCTGCATGTTATTTTAATACAACTGCGTGCATCTGCTGATGTGAGAAATACCAGTCAAACTGACAACAGGACTCAGCTGCTATGGTTAAGTCTCAAGAAATGCTTGACTGAGGTCCCTGCCACACGGCAGAATAAAAAACGGGCGAAGTGCGGCTAATCAGAGCCGCACCAAAATAGAGACGCCGCGGCGGGATTCCATGGATCCCCTGAGCCGCGGCGCCGTTGCTCCCCGGCACGATCAGATGCCAGGGAGGACGCCACGGTCGGGAGGGGGAGGCTGCCGAACTGCGCATGTGTGAGCATGCGCAGCTCGGCCAGGAGCCGGGAATGCGCCGGCGGAAGGACGCGCCGGCGATCCCACGGCCTGCCTTGATGCGGCCATGCCGGAAGAACCACCTCAGTAGGTGGTTTATTTTTGCTGCGGTGTTTGGGTGGAAGGGCTGGATCGGGGACGGGTGCGCAACGCTTCCCAGATGTTGCGGTGGATCGCGCCCGTTTGCTGCGCCCCCGATTCGTCCCTCTCCCGGCCCAAAACCTCTCGTGTGAACGGGGCCTGAGTTTCCTTTTCATTCTGGGTATACAAGGCCAGAGGCTGAAATCCTCCACTCTTAGGCTGCTGAAAAGCTCAGTGATTTCGGTGGTATCTAAGTAAACTGTGTACTGTATCTACACTCAAAGCATCCAAGCAAACAATGTTGATAAATCAGAGGAATATTCCTACAAGCTATTCTTTCCTGACTCAAAATATGGGTTGGGTCCAACCAGCACTTTCACTGTTGGGGGTGGGGGGATGGCCACCAAAATATTATGCTGGGAGGGCATCATGTGATCCACAAGGACAAAGGCCATGTATTATGTCGGCTGTAAAAAGAAGGGGAATTGGGTGAGATCAATAAAAAAAACTGTCTGGATCCAGTCCAATGGATGGAAGAGTTAATATGTATTATCAGTCTCACCAACAGACACTCAGATATGGCAAGCATCCTGAAGTCATTTAATAGTTTCAGTGCCTTTCTTGGAGGCCGTGAACACACATTAACCCTGTCTTCATAGACTATATAAACAGATGGAAGTGAGTGCAGAAGTGATACTCTAGGTAAAAAAGTGTAGTCTGGCAGAGCAAAGGATTGCTGGCATAAACAGCAACTTGATGTTGAACTCCCTCTTTCCATGGAACATGCAGCTGTGGAATCATCTGGCATGAAGTCATCTGGTTGTGATTCTCTGTGTCCCACTCCACATAACTGGCTGCATTAGGGCAGGGTGCCATTGGGGAAATGCACAATGTAATAGAATCATAGAATCACAGAATTGGAGGAGGCCACACAGGCCATCTAGTCCAACTCCCTGCTCAATGCAGGATCAGCCTAGAGCAGTGATGGCGAACCTTTTAGAGACCGAGTGCCCAAACTGCAACCCAAAACCCACTTATTTATCGCAAAGTGCCAACACGGCAATTTAACCTGAATACTGAGGTTTTACTTTAGAAAAAAACAACTCATACATTAACTTAAGATGATCCAAACAAAGTAAGGAAAGCAATCCCAAATGTTTTCATTTCCTTAAAATTATTTGGCAGAGAATTTGTCACTTTAATGATGGTCTGGGCCTGGCTGGGGCGATGGCACGCTTGCCCACATGTTGAATCTTTCTTGTTTCCTCAAGAGATCTCTTTGTGAATTACCCCCTTTGGAGCCCTGCTAAAATGCTCTAATGGATCTCACACTGATGCACTGTAATGTTATTCGAAACCCCAAGAATTTCAGCCTTGGCCTGAGCTGTCCATTAGCCACATTTAAAATCGGAATGGCTATTCAAATGCACTTGCTGAGATCAGAGTACCTTTGAGCAGTGGTCATGATGGCATCCACAACTTCAATGATTCTGTGCAAGGCCGAGTCAGTGCCAATGGTCATATCTGTGCCACAGAAATCATTATCGATGGAGCCAACCATTCCCACAATGTTGAGGTAAGCGTGCTTCTTAACAGCTTCGTCGTCAATCTCGCCTGCCAAAAAGAACAGCCCCTAAATATATATACAAACATTTGACCAGCACAGCTTCTTCATTCTCACATACAATATAGTGTATTCGTTATACAATTGTGCCTCCCAAAGCTTCTATAAAAATGGTATTACTACTCCACATGAAAAAAGATAAATTAAAGCTGAATAAGACTTCTGTGCTGAATGAGAAACTTTTCCTGCTTCAAGTAGAACTGAGAGGCACTGTCCCATTAGTTAGTCACCAAAAACCATTGGTCAAATGAGCCATAGGACAGCAGTCAACACCTGCTTGAATGCAGAGGAACACAGGCTCAGGATCCAATCAAAAGATCTCAGGTAAACCACGCCCTAAAATCTTGAAATGCTGCTACTCAGAAAAGGCCGAGACCTGACTTAGTAAAATACAGCTGCATTTGTTCATACATAAGCACTCATTTGATGGCATTGATGGCCATGTTTAATTTTTGTATACCTTTGACCACACATGCTTGAATGGACAAAGATAGTTTAAGTGATCTCAGTTATGCTGGGGAGGGACCTAGAACGAGAACAACCAATTGCAGGGATGGACTGTGAGCTCCTGCCGACCTCAGAACAGTGTTTATCTGGCTCTTGGTGACCCCACACATTGCAGTCAAGATATGCTAGATGTCTTACCTGCAGTTTCACTCAAAAGGGAAAGTCAACTGGTTTCAAACATTTGCAACAGATAAGAGGAACAAGTCTACACTTCAATGTAACACTGAAGTCTGGGTGCTGAATGAAATGCCACCTGTCCTCCACTCATTACTAGGGGGAGCCAACTGTATTGTAGGGGATGCTTTGTTCAGTGTCAGAGATATATCTGGTCGCACAAAGCACCCTCTGAGAATGTAGCAGTTTGCCAACCTTGAAACACTGAGCCAAATTCTTCTTCTTACACGTCCTTTTCATCATGAATACTAATTGAGTTTTCATAACTGGCAGGCAAACAGATATTTTTTTGTTCATTCTTTAGATAAGTGATAAACTTATTTTTCCTTACTCAGAGGAGACAAGAGAGTTCACACATTTAGCCTCATGGCTACTGAGTGATTGAGCCTCATGGGCACTGAGTGATACCTTAACATTTCTAGTATATGGAGGAAAATACAAAGAAAGTGGGCAGTAGAACATACAAAGAAAATACAAAGAAAGTGGGCAGGTCTCTCTCTTCAGCATCACAATGGCTCTTTGCAAGAGGCAGGCCAGTTTAAAGGAAGCTTTGCTACTACTCCAGAGCTACGTTTTGCATTTGTTATGTCAAATGACTGTGCAAAATATATCTGTTATTTTATGTGTATCTCAGACACACATCTGATTGTTCCAGCACCATACTTGTGTATTTGGTCATTCCCTAATCATCAGCAGCATTCAACCCCAAAATTGCAAATAGAAGAAAGTAACAAGAAGAGGATGAGCCATTATGTCCTAGGCTCTCTGTCATTCTCCAAATTGGTGTGAAGTCTACCAATTCTGATGCCACCTTGCAAACAGTTCCTGGCAGGACAATTCACCAAGGTCCACTTTCTTGGGCTCCCGATGCTTTCTCAGTCCTCTCATTTGTATTAAAAACAAAGCAGGACAATAATGAACATACAATGCTGAAGTATCAATAACTGCTGCTGGGGAGGGGCATGGTTGTCCCCCCGTGGGGCTCAACATGCTGCAATCAGTGCACAAGCATCCCCTCCTGGACAGCTGCCTCTACCCTACTTCTAGCTGCTGCTTCCATGCCATGTGCCTGGAAGCAAAGCTATATCAGAGCTTTACACAGTGGTGCAGCAGCACTTGGGACTCCAGAGGACTACAGCGATTTTCACAGCACTCTGATTGTGCCTATGTCCCAGGATCTGGCTAGGGGGCACATTCCTGAAGCTAAGCATGTCCAGACGGGTTTCATTGGCTAGATGGGACATCTCCCAGGAATCCCATTCAAGTCACTTTGAGTTCCATAAAGAGAGAAAGATGGGACAAAGGTAATAACGTATGCAAAATACAGGGAGGAACAGCCATCAGATACTACCAACTTTCCTTGGAGTGTCTGGCCAGTTCTTTCAAAAGTACTAAGCTAGATGAAGTGCCGCTGCCTTCTTTGGACTTGACACATTCATCCTTCCTTTTTCAAATCGTATAATAGCTTGGAGCACTGATTCTAGTGACAAATCATTTATTTTTATGGAAATCTTCCCACAAGCCGAGCAGCAAAACTTACCACTTCTGGCCAGCTCTTCTAGCAGTCCACTCCATTCTTCACGGAACTGATTAGCACCTGTTAAGCTGCCGTCCCCACCAATCACACAGAGGTTACTGATTCCACGCTTCACCAGGTTGCAGGCTGCCCTCACACGGCCTTCCCGGGTCCGGAAAGGTTTGCAGCGTGCGCTGCCAATCACTGTCCCACCCTACAAAGGAAGAGAATAGGGTTCCGTTTCCATTTGGGAGCTGCAAGCCGTGAATTGTACTTGGAATTGTTGACTCCCTAGTGGTATTGTACTAGGAAACATTTACTCCTAGTGGCCTTTTGGATGTTAGGTGGTACTGTATTGAATGCATAATATCATTTTGACTGCTGGATTTTGCTATTTCTCCAGCCAAAGTATTTGCATTATTTCCTTAAACATCTCTCCTTGCTCTCTATGTGAATTCTCAATAATCCTTCCAAGTGTGTAGATAAAACCTGGCCACTTTGATAAAAATGTTATCACCATTTCTGTGTGTCGGGTATAAAACCTAAATTAGCAGCTCTCTGGAACAAGAGACAGCATAAGGGATTCCCCCCCCCCTTATGATCAGGCTATTTTCATGTGGGTTTGGGCTCAAATCAGAAAATTGGCCACAACCACTGACATGCACCTCATGTCTATTTCTTCTGGACCATGCACAGCAACACACCACACCCACCACTGCAGAACTGTGACATTTCACCTGAGAAGCATTATTTGGATCTCACAGTTACCTTCCTGGCACTATAATTTCCCTTTACTTTTCTTGACTGGTATTGGTATTCCCTTCCACCACACCCTGAGCATTCCGACTGCGTATGCACACATGCTGAAATTGGAAATCCGGAAGTATAAGACAGTCAGCTGAGTCTTACGAAAGACAGAATCGGTTGGGTGAGTTTGGCATGCACTTAGGAAGCAACAGTCCCTTTGCTCAATTTTTAATCGTATTGTTGGCCTTGACAGAGCTTCCGCCACCTATCAGCAGCACGAGTGGAATGTTTCTGTACAGTAACACATAACACTGATGAAAGAGAGAACTGTCATATAAATACCTTTACTGAAGAAGTGTTAATGATTGATTATACAACCCTAATCCTTCTTCTCTGAGGCACGAAAGAGGAACCTCAGCCGTGCCCAGCGTCTGCCCTCGGAACTATGAACATTTGCTAAGGCGTTAAGCTCTTGAAATGCCAAGCCATCTTTTGGCACCATTGTGCTTTTACGTGATGCAAGTCACAGCAAGCAGGGAATGCCAGAGGAATGAGAGAAGAGGCATGGGACTTGCTTCCAACAGGAACACCATTCAAACCACAGTAAGACAGTCATTAAAGGAAGCAGGATGCATGGTAATGGTTTGTAAACTATACTAAGGGGGGGGGGGCTAAAAGAATGCACCAAAGGTCTGCCTCTAAGCCAGCCTCCATGGGCATAAGCGCTACTCCACTGCTCTTCTTGCACAGTGGATTTTCCCAACTCCAAAGTGAATAAGGATTCCTGGCTAATTCAGCAGACCACATGAGCCCAGGAAATGCTGGACTGGGACAGACAACTAGAATCCAAAATAGATCCAGGTAGGCAGCCGTGTTGGTCTGAAGCAATAGAAGAAAGTTTGAGTCCAGTGGCACCTTTAGACCAACAGAGTTTTATTCAGGGTATAAGCTTTGTGTGCACGCACACTTCCTCAGATACAATGAAATGGAAATTACCAGTCCATACATATAGGTAGAGGGTCAGTCATATGGTACCTGCGTGTGAATGGACATTTTTGCAAGGATTTCATTGAGTACTTGTATATATTTTTTAGTGTTCAAAAGAGACACTTGCAAAAATATTAGCAGTTTTGGATCAAACACAGCTTTGCTCAGTCCTCCCTAACAGGAACAGGCCAGAGCAAGGCATATGGCTGCCAACCCCCTGGTGGGACAAAGAAACACCGAGCATATAGCCGTTACAACACTTAACTGCAATACATCCATTTTTTTCTTTTGTGTAATGGTTATCTCTCCTTATATATAATTGAATAGTGGGTGCCAAAGTTCTAATTCTAAAATGCACTCCCTTAGTGTATGGCTGATGGCACTGCTCCTCAGCATATATCGCCACCAATCAGAAGGCAAAGCCCGGGTCCCGCCCACACCACAACTGCTGCGACAACCTGGTATTTTGCATATGGAAGCTGATTGGACTTCAGTCCATTCCACACCTCAAACTCCCCCCCCCACAAGGCAGTTGGGATTTTCAGTTGCATAACATACCTCATAGGGGAGAGGAGAATGGGTAACAATGGTTACCACTCTCCAGGTGAGGGCTACAGATAACTCAAACATACAAATGCTCTTCAGGTAGCAGAGATCAGTCCCTCTGGAGAAAACAGTGGACTCTGTCATTAAACCCTGCTGAGGTCGCCACAGGAAACTGACACTGTTTGCCCAAAGCCAGAGCACTCTCCCAGAGCCTCTTTCTAGATCCCGTTGTATTTATTTCCACAACGGGCCTTATTTCTAGTAAATTATATAATCAAGTAAACAATAAAGTATCTAAGCAATTTCACTGTAATTATTATAGTTTCAGGTTTACAAATTCTTACAGTCACAGAAGCTCACGGCAATAACGTCTGTCATTTACAACATACAGTTCACAACTGCATAAAGGCACTCACAGATGCGAGATAGTTAAAGGGACAGTTTCAAGTAACACATCCTTTACAATGCAAGTTAAAGAAACAGTTCCAAAACAGTTCAGTTCCTACAACAAATGTTGTGTAAATATACAAACTAGAAACTCACTCCCGAAAATTATACAAATTTCAACATAAGAATTAAATATGTCAAAACATCTTCATTGAGTGGCATGCTAATTTGCTGTTCACCTATGTAGAGGCATCTGTCGTATATGAACTATTAACCTCCATTTCAATGTAACTGAAGAAGTGTGTGTGTACACAAAAGCTCATACCTTGAATAAAACTTTGTTGGTCTGTCAAAACATCTTCATTGAGTGGCATGCTAATTTGCTGTTCACCTATGTAGAGGCATCTGTCGTATATGAACTATTAACCTCCATTTCAATGTAACTGAAGAAGTGTGTGTGTACACAAACGCTCATACCTTGAATAAAACTTTGTTGGTCTTAAAGGTGCCACTGGACTTTGTTCCAATAACCAAAAGATTCTTTTTTGGGATTTTCTTTCAAGGAAAAACATCTAGCCCGGAGTCAAATGTCTATACAGTTTCCTTAATTATTCTGATTTTAACCTTTCGACTTTCAGGGCTTACTTAAAAACAATAAATGAGTAAATGCTGGTCTAAAAATTTTCCTTGATTTGTTTCTTACCACTTGGAGGATGCTTGAAACACTTTCCCATGAAACTTCAGCAATGTTGTCACCTCCATCAACCATGCCTTGGTATCCCTATAGCAAGACAGAAACTCTTTAGAAGCCTGACAAGCAAAATAAACACTCGTGTAAGGTAAAATTAAAGCCAGATTTAAGGTTAAAATGGTATGCTAAATTTGCATGGTCTTGCAGATAACATTTAGAATGAACTCCTTTTGGTCATAAGATTTAGAATGCACTCCTTTCGTTTCTATGATCTACTGATTCACTGTTATTGAGGCTTAATTTAAGACGCATTGTACAGTGAGGGCAACATTATTTTTGTAGTGGATAGTGCTGGACACAGGCTTAAGAAATTTGTGTCCAAATGCTCTCTTTTATGGTTACCAGGTCTGGGTTGGAAAATACCTGGAGATCTTGGGGGTGGATCCAGGAGAGGGCGGGGTTTGTGGAGGGAAGGGGCTCAGCATGGTACAATGCCATAGAGTCCACCCTTCAAAGCTGCCATTTTCTCCAGGGGAGCTGTTAGCTGGAGATCAGTTATAGAAACCAGAGATTTCCAGGCCCCACCTGGAGGCTGGCAACCCTACTCTCTTTAGTTCAGCATTCTATCTAGGCTTGCCAAGTCCCCCCCTCTGGCATTATACCCCACTGAAATCCATCACCTCCCCAACCCCCGCCCTCTTCAAGCTCCACCCCCCAAATCTCAAGGTATTTCCCAATCCAGAGCTGGCAACCCTACTAAGTAGTAAGATTATGTAGCAGGTATTTGCAGCATTGTGTACTGTTATCTATAGAAAGGTGACAACTTTACTTCATTAATTGTAAATCTGTTCTCCTAGGAGACGCTATAAGAATTTGCTCTGCAAAAATCTTGGACTCATTTAAGTAAGCTTCTTGTTTACAATCCATTTAACCTCGATACCTTTGTTTGCTAACCTACATTTTAATCTTTTGCAGGGCTACAAAGAATAAACGAGGCTAATATTTTGAATGCTGATGGAATCATCTGATCACACGAGATTATTTCCAGATAATGTGTTTGGCATGTTGTATGGTAATTTTCTGGTTCTATAAAATTATTTTATTAACATAATTCTCATATGTTTTCTTTGAGTCTGTATCAGCTATGAGATGGTCTTGGGCAGCTTTAAATGTTGCAAGGATAAAAGGGAAGATAGGGATACAAACATAATCATAACTTTGTTTGCGTAATAACTGCTAACAACCCCAAAACAATAATTTCCAAAAAACTCTAATAACTGATACTTTTAATTTTGGCTATCTTGCAGGGGATAAAAAGTCACCTGATTTCCAACAGTAATGGGACAATGATAATTGGCAGTCCCCACACGCCACAGACTGTGGGTGAAGGTTTCAATGTTTAGAACACCAAGAAAGGAGGGAAATGGGCAGCAACTGATATAATGGTGACTGCATTTGTCCCCAGATCCTTATCAGACTCAACAAAAGGTACGCAATCCCCACTATGATTGATATGATACTGTGTATCGCCATCCAGGGCTCTTTATGCAGCAGGAACTCATTTGCATACTGGAGACACACCTCTAATGTAGCCAATCCTCCAAGTGCTTACAGAGCTCCTCTTATAGGAGCTACTGTAAGGTCTTGGAGGATTGGCCTACATTAGGGGGTGTGTCACCTAATATGCAAAGGAGTTCCTGCTACAAAAAGAGCACTTGCCATCATTTAATCCAATTGTACACTAGCACTTTATTAATGGTTTTATAAATACTGTGTTTTATCTATCTTAATTTTCATGTAAGCCACCCTGAGCCTGCTTCCATGGGGAGGGCAGGGTATAAATTAAATAAACAAATAAACAAACAAATAAATACAATATCTGGGGACACTTGGTTTGGGTGGGTTTCGTTTCTGTATAATTTAATATTACAAATCCCAACCATGCTTTCCCATGGAATTTCTTCAACTATTAGAACACCACTTGCTTCTCTTTACTATGAGACAGTGTGTGGTTTCACTGTACATCCAAGGAGGCACTTGTTATAAAAAGAAACTGTCAAGAAGCCTTCGGTAAGTTATAAAAGCTTCCTCCAAGGAGGATTCAGGAAGAGAAACGGTTCCTTCTTTCCTCTGCCAAGCAGTGGAAGCCTCCCACCCACTTGTTGCCCTACTAAAGGTAGATTGCAGTAGGATGATGAGACCAGGCATCACACGAAGGTTAAGGCACAGAACTGTGACTCAGGAGGTGCCCAGTTTCAATCTCTCCTCTACAAGGAACTCACTAAGTGTCCTTAAGCAAGCCACTCTCAGCCTCACTCCTCGGTTCGCAATCTGGGAATCATAAAGCTAACCTATTTTACAGAGCCATTGTAAGATTGTGACAAGGGAATGTGTGTGAAGCGCTTTGAAGGCTCTCAGCCTCACCTGCTAAAATTTGCCCAGGCAGGTACATAAAATGGACTAAAGCTCATACCTCTCAGCACTGATCGTATTTTTTCACCTGTGCTGGAACAAAACCAGCTGTCCTAAAGTTGTTGTTTTTAGTGAGCAATGAGAGACTTTTACATGTGCTAGTTCCAAATTATTCTTTGGGCATATCTCAGATGTTTCCAAAATGTGATTTCAAACATTTAGCTTGCAGAAAAGGGCTAATTTCTTGTGGTGGTCGGTCAGATACATGGAGTTGTCTTATATCAAACTCAAAAAAACTGGTCTGACTAGCCCAACAACGTCTATGTGGATTGGCTTCTGCTCTATAAACAGAGGTCTCTTCCAAGCCTGGAATTGGCATATAAATCTTTTAACTGAAAACCCTAGAGAAATGAACCTGGATCACCATAAATACAAAGCATTTCAGAACATAAGTACAGCCTGTTGGATCAGACCAATGGACCATCTAGTCCAGCATACAGTTCTACACAATGGCCAACCAGTTGCCATAGAGGTCCAAACAAAAACAGCATAGAGGCCAAGGCCCTCCCCTGCTGCCGCCTCCCAGTATTCAGAGGTTTGCTGCCTCTGTATATGAGGACTCCCTTCAGTCACCAAGGCTAGTAGCCACTGCTCCTCCAAGGATCTGTCTAACCCCCTTAAAATCTCTCTGTGCCTGTGGCAATCACTACCTCCACTGGCTGTGAATTCCAGAGTTTAATTACTCATTGGCTAAATAAGAATTTCCTTTTGTCCATCCTGATCCTATTTCCCAACAATTTCATCTGCTGTTCCCAAAGCTCCATCACTCTATCCGATGCTTAATTTTAAAAGCCTCTATCCAGTCTCCCTTAACCTGTTTTTTTTTTCTAAACCCAAAAGTCCTAGACTCTCCAGCCTTTCCTCATTTGTTCTACCACTTACCCAAGGCCCACTAAAGACAGCCTAACCTTACATGCAGTTGTATGGAAACAGCAGAGCAAGAGATATAGAGGTCCTAGACCTCTTTCAAAGCCTCTGTGCTCCGTCCTAAGTGCCAAGATCAAAATGCCAGTGCAGCCTCATGCTACCCTCTTTGCTTCTGTCTACTGTATACCCAATGCTTGCTGTTACTTTGTGCGGTTATTACATCTTCTGGGTGCTGACCAAGGACCTCTCTATTCACATTCAGCTTGCTTGCTTGCTTGAAGGTTCTGAATGCATATTTTTGATTACCAGAAAGCTGGAGGCTGCCTTACAGAAAGCTACTCACAATAAAAACGGAAAGTGCCCAAAGCAATATGTTCCAACTGTCCTTAATAAATCATTGTCCTTATTTTGCCCACTGCAGTGATGTCACTTGTCAAGATAGCAAGGCAGCTGCCCTGTGCATCCGGACGAGAAGTAAGCCCTGCTGATTAGTGGAACTGGCCTTTGATTAACATGGAGAGGACTGAGATGAACTGCTGCATGTGTCGGAGTTGCATCTATGCGACAATAAATGCAGCTAGCTCTCCTGTTAAAAATATCAAGCTTCTATAAAGAAGATAGAAACCAAAGGGAGCTAGGCTAGCAATATCAGGGAATAGGTTAAGATAACAACGTAAGAGCATTGTTTACTATAAACTAAATGTTTTGAGAAGTATAACTTGTTTGATATTATTTGTTGGAGATTGTTAACGAGACGTATGTTTTGTTTATTGTTATTATGTTGTTGGAAATTGTTAAGCGGTGTAAAAGTATTGTACAGGGAAAAAAAACCATATATAAAAATATATATATCAAGCTTCTCTCCTCCAAGCCCCCCCCATCTAAATGTACATCAAATGTTAATAAACAAAGAGACAAAAAATAATTTATGGTCTGTTTGAATCTACTATTTATTGATGTTTTATCATTTTTTTCAAGCACGATTCAAGTTTTAGCTCCATCACTAGAATCCATTAAAAATAAGGATGCTATGATAGTAAAACTAGTATAAGAACCTTGTACTTTGGAAATATCCTCTGAGGTTCCATACGGGGCATCTACTCTATATGTAGGGTGTTGGGTCCAATTTGGCACAATGACTAATGGATCTCTCTTTAATTATTTTAGCTGAAAGACTGTTGCTTGTTGCAGACCTGCTTTTTGAGCAATGCAACTATTACTTGTTTCTAAAGCACGTCATTTCCTTCCACTGTACCTCATGTCAAATCTCAGAATGTTCCAATGTTTACACAGGTAAAAGTATGTCACAAAAATGTCAAGAGCATTAAATATTAGTGTAACATTTGATATCTGATGTTCTTTTTTGGTTTGTGGGCTTGTGTGCCTGGACGTCATGGTGACTTCTGGCAACCCCTACTGGGGCTAGGATGGTTCAGAGAGATGCCTTGATTGTCCCAGCCCTGGTATTCCTTGGAGGTCTTCCTTTCAAATACTTGCCAGGGTCAGCCCTGCTCAGCTTCTGAGATCTGAGGAGATAGGACTTGCCTGGGCTATCCAGGTTAGGGAAATATCTGATGTTCTTGATTTTTTTTTTAATTCTGCAGGTTAAACCACTGAATTGATTTGTTACATACCACTATAGACAGAGAGTAAATCACCATCCTCAACAATGCCAATGGAAGTGGCTACCGGTAATTCCTAGGATGGAGCCGGGAATTGGTAAGCCATCTGCCCACTCACCGTGGCCCTTG